CCCCAAAATCTGGAAGTCATCACCACAAGAACATCTATGATCAAATTACTAAACTAAGAGTATTCTAAGAAGCTAAAACAAATAAAAGCTAGTCCATGCCGGGAGTTCAAGGCATCAAGACATGAAGGAGAAGATCCAGTCCAAGCTAGAAGCGTTAGCTCACCCTGAAGATCCGGTGTGACGAAGACTGGCAAGAATTACTGTTGAGTTGAAAACGACGGAACGTTTGCTGCACTCCACAAATAACAAAGAAGAAAACATAAAGGTAGGGGGTTAGTACAAACACGGGTACTGAGTAGATATCATCGGTCAACTCCAAATAGAAAACAGTATATATTAAGCAATATCATAAAATCAACTAATATCCTTCGCATGCAGCATTTAGAGTTACCATAACCCTTGGTTACAACTCCAAGCTCATCAATGAGGACTCACGCCTCTTCATCATACTCATTTGGGAATTAGGTTCATTAGATTGAATATTTTAACATATTTCAAGATTCATTATCTTTATTCCTCTCGTGTCGGTACGTGACACTCCGCTCCTCATTCTATCCTGGTGTCAAAACGTGACACCCGATCCATATTCTATCCTGGTACCGGAACGTGGCACCCGATCCATATACTATCCTGGTGTCGGAACGTGACACTCCGATCCTCATTCTATCCTGGTACCGGAACGTGGCACCCAATCCATATTCTATCCTGCTGTCGGAATGTGACACTCCGATCCTCATATACTATCCTGGTACCGGAACGTGGCACCCGATCCATATTCTATCCTGGTGTCGAAACGTGACACTCCAATCCTCATATACTATCCTGGTACCAGAATGTGGCACCCGATCCCCTAATCAAACTACTTTCGTTCATCAAGCCTTATTTTATACCAAGGCATCATCATTAACAAAGTAGATTAGGGTTTTGCAAGATTTGGGATTCAATAACTTCATCATGCTTATATAATCACAATTATATAATTACGTTAATGCAAGCATACAATTAAGCACATAGCGGGGTTTACAATATTATCAATACATATCATTCGCTATTAAGAGTTTACTACGATTATCGTAAGAGAAACCATAACCTACCTCCACCGAAGATTCGTGATCAAGCAAGCAAATTTTCCCAAAGCTTTGTGTTTTTCCCCTTCTCGATCGTCTCTCTCTCTATCGATTCCCCTTCTCTCTCTTTCTATTATTTTCTTTTTCTTATTCCAACCCTCTTTCTTTTACCCTATTTAGTATATAATTAAGAATAAAAGGTGGCAATAATGACCCACTAATTAACTTAAGGTTACCTCTTTTAACCCTCAAGTAATTAGACTTATTAACATTAACCCTCTAACTTTATAATTAAAGTAGGAATAGTCCAAAACGTCCCTTAAAACGTGTAAAGAAATCCGACCCAGACTGGGATTTCGCAGTCTGTGACGGCCCGTCACGCCTGCGACGGTCCGTTTGGCTGCCCGTCACAGAGTTCAGAGACTCAATTTCTCTGAAGAGTCTCTGACGGTCCGTCACACCTGTGACGGTCCGTCCTGCCATTCCGTCACGAAGTTCAGAGAGTCGATTTTCAGTACCCAATTTCAGATTTTCTAAGTGTTTCGAAACGAGACCCTGCGACGGTCCGTCGTGCCCATGACGGTCCGTCGTGGGGTCCGTCGCTTCTGCCAGTTTTTTCCAGAATTGAAATCTGCTGATCAAAACGACTAAACAGGTCGTTACATTCTTTTTATTTTACTTTTTCCTTTTGCACGTTAGTTACCCTTTATTTTTGTTTTTTTTAACAACATTCTGTTTGTCTTTCTCAGAGTTACTTTTTTTTATAATATTGTTTTACTTTGAGAAAGTTTTTTTTTAATCTTTCTTTTATTTCTACTTTTTGTTTTATTTTTTTATATTTTTTATCTTTATTTTTCATTCTACTTTCCTCTTCTTTTTTTTGATTTTTTACGTTTTTTTATTTTTCTGTTTCTGTTTTTTTTTTAGAAAAAAAAAGTTATGTTATTTTTTATGCTTTCTTCTTCTTCTTTTTTATTCTTATGGTTTTTCTTTCATTTTTTTAACTACTCTTTCCCATTATTTTTTAATTTTAGTTATGACTTTGAATAATATTTATATATTATCTCAATGATAAACTTTAATAATTCGAATTAGATAATATCTTATACTTAATCTAAAGATAATTTTTAATCCAAATAATGTGTAAAAAAATAAAAAAAATTGAAACGTATTACACATAAGTTTTTAAATTACTAATCAATTAAAAATTTTAGTTTACATCCTAAAATTACGAGGATGAATCCTTTGATTTTCATAGGGTCAAAGACTTTAGAGGATCCATAGGAGTTTATGAATGAGGTACATAAGATCTTGGTAGCCATGGCGGCCACAGATACAGAGAAGGATGAGCTGTCTTCCAATCAGCTCAATGATGTTGCACAGTCTTGATGCAAGATGTGGAAGGATAGCCGAGATTTCGGCGGAGTTCCACTCACGTGGGAGTTTTTTAATACAGCCTTCCTAGAGAGATTTGTCCCCACGGAGATGAGAGAGTCCAAGGTTGAGGAGTTTATGAACCTTAAACAAAGATCGATGACATTCAGGGAGTATTCCCTGAAGTTTAAGAAATTATGTAGGTATGACACTTACCTTGTATCTAACGGCAGGGATGAGATGAGTAGGTTTCTCATAGGAATCACAGGAGATCTAGAGGAGCAGTGTCGGGCTGCGATACTCCACGATAACATGGACCTCTCCAGGTTGATGGTGCATGTTCACCAGGTAGAGGATAGAGGAAAGAAGAGGGGTGACCGTGATGTTAGGAGTCCTAAGCCTTCTAATAAAGCAGGTTCTACTAATGGTTGAAAAACGAACAACTTCGGCGTCCGAGTCAAAAAGAGGCATCAAAGTTTCAGAAACACTAACTTTCAGAGGAATGCAGCACCTAGAGGAGGCACACTCGAGACCAAGAAGGGAAATAGAGGGTATGTGCAGCATCCCATAGAGGACTGTGCCAAGTGTGGCCGTGCTCACAGTGGAGAGTACAGGCAGGGAACTAATGCCTGGTTCGGTTGCGGAAGGAATGGGCACATGGTCAAGGACTGGTCAAAGAACATAGGTCAGGATGGAGGTAATGCTCAGCCTAGGCCTAATCCACAGGGTGCAGCACCAGCCGAACCTCCTAAGAGGAACAAATTCTATGCCTTGAAAGGCTGAGATGAACACGAGAAGTCCGCTGATGTTGTCCAAGGTACGGTGCAAGAATTCTTAACTTCTATTCATACATTACTTGATCCAGGGTCTACGTTTTCCTTTGTATCTCCTTTGCTTTCTCTCACTTTTGATGTATTTCCTGATGATTTGTGTGATCCTATAATGGTTAGTACACCTTTAGTAGATAATGTAAGAACTGATAGAGTATACGAGGATTGCCCAATAGTTGTATGTGGTAATACTATGTGTGCTTAGTCTTTAGGCCCATCTCAAGACAACATGTGAGTCAATACTACCAATATCATCTTAATGAAAGTATAGTTAGCATTGCATACTTAGAGTTCATTTCATTAACATATCATAAAACCTTAATCATAATCCAACAAAATCTACAAGTGCAATGTATATAAGATGCCCCATAACTTAAAATATACTTAGTAAACTGATCAAGGAGATCATAAGCATTGCAACTTGCTTCATACATCAACATCACAAGTATAGCCAACAAAATGCATACTAAGTGAAACTTTCATCATGTAGACATGATGAAACCAACACTATGTATACTAATATAACAAGTAAGTTAACACCATAATTCCACGCATAAGACATATACATACATATAGTTTCATATAGAACCTTCCCTACCATTCCATTCAAGAGCTACTTGTGCAATGTACAGGTAAAGTACCATTCCCTCACCTACACTAAGAAACAACCCATTGGTAGTCCTAGTTAGTATTCATCATCTTACTTTACGTTCGGGAAATTACCTCCCACCGGAGGAGGGCATCCTACTTGTCAAGGTAGGACAAAAACATGATAACAGTATCTAGGTGGATAAACTTGCTAAGTTTCCTATGGGTGCACATAGTTAAGAACTACGAGATTGTTACTAGAAACCCACTTCATGCTAATTAACAGTGGAGTTTCCACCTCATGAGAAGATTTGTAGAATCTACCTTATTTTTAGGAAGGGACACCACATATGGTGAACCTACCTTTCTATTAGGAAGGGACGACTCTCATGGTCAACTTCATTCTGTGTTAAGATAACTTTCCTTTTTTTGAGAAACCTTTAAGTATTATTAATATTTTTTCATAAGAGAGGATTTAGGATATTAACTCCTTAGACAACATAGACATAACTGATAGGTTATATGATGAGAATGTCTCTTAATCAAAACCTAAATCATGTGAGAATATCATTTCACATAGTCTAGTATAGATTACAAATAAGGAAACCATCCAAGAGACTCTTATTCACTAGAGTATCATTAACATGCTTCACTCATATATTCATGTGTGTGTATCTGGACATATATGAGGAATCCTTTCACATAGACACAATTTAACAAGAAATGATCATACTTCCTTAGTCACATACCTTACATGCATAATAAGAGATAAAAGAGTATATGATAAATATTATTTCAATTGAAACCATGACCATATCATACTCATAGTTATGCATAAGATATGTGTGTATATTGTTCCCCATTATCAAATAATATCAATAACATTGTACAAGAGGATCCCACCCTTCAAGGATCACAACAAATATACAATATCCTTCCAGTCATGAACAACTCACATATAGAGCATTACGAGACTATGGATCACACACTCACATTCCAATGATGTAAACACCACCAACATAAGTGGACTAAACCATACAATGTCAATACCAATACTATAGACTAGGAATCATGCAAACTTACCAACTCTCCGAGTCATAATTATTATATATCAATCCCCAAAAATTCATAATCAATTGACATAGATAGTAATAGCATTAACCAATACATCACAATCTAATCATAATTCAATTAACATATATAATCAAGATCGTGAAACCCACAACATGGCCTAAATTGAGATATTAGGGAAATCATGTATTCTTCATGGAATTACATTGAATATCTCCTTGATAACATTGTTTAAACATCAATTAATCAGTTAAAGACTTTTAAAACCTTTTGACAATGATCCCATGGTTAGATTGAAACTTTGGAATTTTGATCATCGAATCACATTGAAAATTCATTGAGAGAAATACTTGGATGAAAGTTTAAACAAGAATCAAGGGTTAAATAGCTTAATAGAAGAAAAAAACCAAGAAAATTTGGAGAAGAAACAACTTGGAATTAATCCCCTATCTTGATATTGAGCTTTGTATTCAATGGAGGTTCTAGAGAGAATTCTATTTGGGTTTCATTTTTTTAACTAACTTAAAATACCCCAAATAGGTAAAATAGACGTTCATCATTTAATTGGGATGTGGGATGAATTTCCCAATTCACCCTTTCATGGTCGTGTCTAGATAGTGAATTGCTGGTCACAATGATCGCTCTTAATTATGGAGCATCGATGGATCAATGACAACATCATGCATGGTCATGATTTGTGATTGAGGCCTCTCATTTGGAGCTTTGCTCCTACGAAAAAGTGTGGATCCATGCCACCATTTGAAAGGCTATCGTTCAGACTAATGGGAGTCATTGGCCTCATTTTTTGTCACTATTTTTGCAGCCTCTTGCAATCTTTAGTTCCTCAAAAATCTTATGATGTTGTAGGGAGAAGTGAACTACAGTTCCAAAAAAATTATTGGGTTTTCTTGAAAGTATTGTCTATGAAAGGGGTAATGAGATTTGAAAAGAAATGGAAGCTTAGTCCTAGATAGGTAGGCCATTAACATATCTTATATAAGGTTGGTAAACTGGTCGATGAGTCAGAGTTACCGGTACAACTAGTATCATGCATTCAGTCTCTCACATCACGCTTTTGAAGAACTATGTGGGTGATCCAGCATTCATAGTACCAAATGAGAGTATGACCGTGAAAGGTAGTATCTCATATAAGCATGTACCAGTTGAGATTCTTGATCGTCCTGTTATAAAGTTGAGAAACAACGAAGTCCTTTCAGTCAAGGTTTTGTGGAGGAGCCAGTACGCAGAGGGTTCTACTTATGAAGCAGCAGCATTCGTGAAGGCCAAGTATCCTCACCTCTTTCCTTTGTATTCATCTCCACCTTGAGTTAATAGTTCCTCTTCACTTTTTGAGTCATTCATGCATAAAATAAATCTTAGCATCATGTTTCTTCACTTTGTACCTGCATTTTCAGCATATTTGCATGTTCTTGGAACTTAGATAAGTCAGAAATTAGTCTTCAATGCTTAGTGGTAAAGATGAAGCTCTTTCACTCCATTTTAACTAATTTACTCTTCCTTCGAGGAATGTTCCGAAGGATGAGATATTTTAACACCTAAAAGCAAGACCTAGAAATATTTTTCAGAAAAGCTACCTAAAGTAGTGAACCACGACAGGGTTCATAGACTGTGAAAGGGTCCACGACCCGTGGTAATGTCTTGGACGTCAACACGCCCAAACACCAGACCACATGCATCTTCACTGTCCTTGTTCTTGATGATGGTCCACGGTGCTGCATGTTTAGTCGAGGCAGTGTTTCCTAAGCCAGTCCCTCAAACCTATGCTCAAGTGAAGAGTATAAGCAGTTTCATAATCCGTTGTTCCTCACACGGCCTTTGGAGGCATCTGTGAAGTCTAACAAGTATACTACCAGATCTGATCCTTTGGTCCCTAGCCTAACTAAGAATCACAAGGACTTTCACTGTCCTCCACACGAGCTTTGTTTATTGCTCTTGGATAAAGCCTTGAGAACAACTAAACCTTGTCCAGACCAAGACCGACTTCACAGTCCGTGGTCCCTTTCATGGTTTGTGAAGATGGTTGTTGTTAGCCTATCTACATTTTTAAATTACTGATATTGCCCTTTATTTCTATTTCATAGGACATTCAAACCTCATTATTTTTACAATAAAATTTGTGGTTTTGGTAATTTTAGCCTATAATCATAATTACAACTTGCCTAAGTTAAATTATTAATAAAACATAGAGAAATTTATGTTAGAGAGGAGAATATAAGTCAAGAACCCTAGTTCAAGAAAACAACAAGATTCCATCATTTCTAAACCTAAAAGATTTTTCTAAGGAATTAATCACCAGGTATGTGGGATTCACTAGCAGGTGACTTTCTCCCATTAGGTCCTTATAATTTATTTTTGATTGCCTAGTATTAACTAGAACTAGGGTTTTTAAAATTTCAGTAGAATATCATGAATTATTTATTTATATGTTATAAATAAGAGTATTATGTTATTACTTCGCTTGTTGCATCAATCTTCGAACCCTAACTATGTATTTCATTAGTTATATATATATATATATATATATATATATATATATATATATATATATATATTTATATATATATATATATATATATATATATGCCTCAATTTTGAAAGGGTCATTATTAGTATAATAATGTTGCATCCTCAGTTTCCTTGTCAGATTTGAGCTTTCTAGTATATTAAAGAAAATCAATGTTAATGTATTAATCATTTAATTCTATTGGGAGTTACATAATACCAATTTTGACTAGGTTAAGTCACTCATATGTACCTATAACTACAAGCGATGTAGGTTGTAAGTCCCCTCTGTGCGCATCAGTTTAGTGATCACGTCTTCATCCCTGTATACCTTTGGTCAGGTATATTTAGTCCTCCCGATGGGGTGTATGCATCAGACTCAAAATTTAGCTCATGTGGTTTTATTGCTGGTTATTAGTAGCTCCCATAATTCAGTTAGACTTTATTACATTGACCATTTTAAGTACATTCGTTATTCAATCTCATAATGTAATAAATTTTTTCATTGCATTCCAAATAGTTATATATTCAATATATATATATATATATATATATATATATATGTGTGTGTGTGTGTGTGTGTGTGTGTGTGTGTGTGTGTCTGTGTGTGTGTGTGAGTGAGTGAGTGAGTGTGTGTGTGTGTGAGAGAGAGACAGAGAGAGAGTGTGTGTGAGTGTGTTTGTGTCTGTGTGTATAACATCCCGAAAGTCCATGACTTAGTCTAGAGCCTTATATGATGAACTGTGAAATGTGTGCTAAGGGGCTTTTGCA